ATTATGTTGTCAACCAAAAAACTAAAAGTTAAATTTCAAAGGTAGTGTTATCGAATATCCTATTACACATTTTGCGAAAAAACCTTATAAAAATACTTTTTTGTAAGTATGTATCTATACAAGTATTTTTACAATATATTTGTATAGATAATAATAACTAATACCATGACATCATTTTTAAACAGGTATATAACTACACAAAATGGCAAGTTGCATAAACGTTATATTTAATGGTTTGAGTGTCATTTCCCCCACCCAAAAAATCTACTATTCTGATCAGGTGACAACTTTAAATACTCATCTTGTCACGCTATAATCAACTGATACAAGACAGAGAATGTGACATAATTCCATTCTTCTTTGCGTCAAAAAGATACAACGAAAGACAACACATCTAAAAAATGTTTTGTATCATTCATATTTTGGCAAATTGATTGTGATAATTTTTAAGTATGCTATGACATGTTTCTTTTTCTTAAATGTACGACAATTATATGTTTTACCACAAAATAAAATAATGAGATTGTTGAACTAAAATCATAAAGTTTAAAGAGCTAATTAATTTTGAATGTTTCTTATCCGGGGGAGATTCCCATGTTTTTTTTTGGATTTGACGATTGTTTTTGATACAAAAATAACGTCCGATTTTAAGTTTACGAGCGAGTATTGCCCGGTACCCGGACGATCATGCACAGGCATCGGGCCGTCATCGTTTTGTCGTAGGGCGATTGCGTGGCTTGTATCTTTTTGTAATTTTGGCGTGAGATTTATGTAGTTGCCTAAAAATGTTTTTGTGAATTCTTTTATATTTAACATGAATTTTATGGTCGAGCAAGAGCGCCACGCGGATTAGTATTAAGGTAAAGGCAAACGACAGTTGTTGCATGTTTTGTTAAGTCTTCATTTGCCTGTATCAACTGCCTTCTTTGCTGGCATTTTGACCACTGACTGATATTTTAAAAAAATATCATAAAAATGCCAAGCCTTTACCGCCTGGCGGCCATGCGGCAACCATCCGATCAATTTTTAAACCACACAGACGCTTCCAGACATCGAGCGACGAACGCCCGGGTAAGCATGTTGTCTGTCACTTCAATACGGCACAAAATCGGCCGCGACAGTTCAAGTAATGACCACGCAAGGTATCAGAATAAAAATCGCCCGGCGTTTGCGAAAACGTCAATGTCACCAATCTTGTAAAAATTGTTAGATTGGGCGGCGGCCGTTTTATGTGTGACCTCATGCCGCCAATGTCGTAAAAAATGTTTGATCGGGCGGCGGCCTTTTTATGTGTAACCTAGGCATTCATGATAGTCAGAGTTGTAGGCCATTTCTTCTCCGTAGATATATTTCTTTATAAGAATAATGACATGAATGCCATTATGAAATTCCCTTTGATTAACATTACATATATTTCTCATTTCTCATAGTAAGCATTGTTAAAATATTTGACTTAACAAGTTAAGCATACTTGTTTATGTTTTCAGTTTTATTCCTTATTTATACAAGTAACATAGCTACATACTTAGATAAGTATATTTTTCATCTGTTTGATCAGAATTGATTTTAATTTATTTCTTCCTTATTTTAGGAAAGAAGAAAGCTGGAAGAATTGGTATGTTAGACTTTAATTTAAATCTCCAATTTCAAAAAACATATGTTTTATTAAAAAAAATCCATAGAGAACAGGATTTGTTTAAATTCCGAATGGTCTTCGAATATGAATAACAATATTAAAACCGAATCATAATTTCGAATAATATGCCGTAAAACACTATTTTAAGTTCATCAAATTCTTGTCGTCTTTCTTGTTCTTTGATAATCAGCTACAAAATTTGGACCATTTGCATAAACTAATGTAAAATATATCAGTTGACCTAGAGTTTGACAAGTGATCTACGTGTTTGTCCTTAGTTGTATAGCCATAACATCTGGACCATTTGATAAGTTTGTAATGTTAAATTGAACTGTAAAATTAGCTGACCTAAAATTTGAATTTTGATTTTTAGATAATATCACATTAAAAGTTAATAATAAAAAACATGTTATACCTTGTTCAAACAATTTTTAAGCTATTTTTATGTACATACTCAAACCGAGTCTGTGATTTGGCTTTGATTAATGTTTCCGAGGAATCATCCTTTCTCCAGCTCGTTTTACGTGACGACTTATAACAAACTGATACTTACATAACAGCATTTATTTAAATTTCGAATGGTCTTCGAATATGAATAAGAATATTGATACCGAATCAATAATTTCGAATAAAATGCCGTTAATCATTATTTAAAGTCCATCAAATTTTTGTCTTCTTTCTTGTTCTTTGATAATCAGCTATAAATGTGGACCATTTGAATAAACTAATGTAAAATATATCAGCTAACCTAGATTTTGGCAAGTGATCTACGTTTTTGTCCTGTATTGTATAGTAATGACATTTAGACCATTTGATCAGTTTGTAATGTAAAATTGAACTATAATATTTGCTCACCTATATTTTAAAGATGTGGCATACTTCCTTGTCGACCAAATGTACATAATTTAGAAGTATGATTATGATGAAGTATTCGACGGCTTTTTATATTGAGCTTTCACATATTTCACCATGTGCACAAAATCATAATTGAAATTTGAAATCAAATGACCTTAATATTGATCTAGTGACCTACTTTCTTGTTTTATATACAACCATGAAATAAGGATCACGTATATAATATGATTAAAACATACAATTTACATGATGATTGTCTAGTGACCAACTTTTTTCAAAATAATGTAATGAACACTTAATGTCACTGCTTTCACACAAATAACAGTCTATCATCAGACGAGTGTTTTTGGGGAAAATGACTCCTTTGTTTATTTTTTCACCAACATTCACGAGTACACAACATGATCAATGTCAAATTGACAATCATGTTCTTTAGTTCAGGTGCAGTACATAAAATAGCAAAACTTTTTTTTCTTACAAAAAACTTACATTTACAGACATGTTATACTTATCAGAAAACTATCACATGACATAAATGTAGTTTAAGGTCAAATTGACATTCATGTACTCTAGATAAGCAGATGAAGACAGAATCGCTAACGCTAATCACTGCAAATACAAGAATTAAAAGCACACGTACATTTTAAAACACATTATATAGAAACGTTTAGAATTACAAACGTTCATTTCACATAATATGATTTGCTGAGATTTGAAACACTTCACACCAGCATTGACTTCTATTTTCTAAAAGGCAAACCTTATATGAATCATGACATTATAAAGCTATTTAGATATAATGCTAATACGGACCGTTTCTGAAACTTTTATGGTCACAATAATCCACAGTTGTGTTTTAAAGATATAGTGTGTTCTCCCTTATGCCTTAGTCACAAATGACAAACGGGGGCCGGCTGACGTCTATTTTCCCCAAAAAATCGTTATATTCGCCGATGTCTGCCCGCCACAGTGAAAATCGGCGGCAGCTTCTGAAAATTGTGGTCATCGGACGGGCAACTTTGAGTTTTAAGTACTACTTAAAACGGTATCCAGACAAACATTTTGGGTCAATAAGTTGAGAAAGTCATCTTGGGGCGATTCCACGTCGCGTGGCGGCGCACGGTTAATGTTGTTTTTTTTTCATTAGACGATTGTTTTTTATATAAAAACATTGTCCGATTTTTAAGGCAACCGGGTGGACATCGCCCGGGCCCTGTCCGGATATCACCCGGCGCCCGAATAGAAAGTTTGCGAACGAGTATTGCGCGGCTTGTGTGTAGTTTTTTATATTCCGGCGTGAGATGTTTTTAGTTGCCTAAAAATGTATCTGTGATTTCTTTTGGATTTAACATGAACTTTATGGTCGAGCGATAACGTTTTGGCGGATAAGTATTAAGTTCAAGGCAAACAACAGTTGTTGCATTCTTTGCTTGGTCTTCTTTTGTCTGTATCATCTGTTTTCTTTGGTGGCATTTTAACCACTGACAGATATTTAAAGAATATCATCAAATGCCGAGGCTTTACCGCCTGGCGGCCACGCGGCAACCATCCGATCCCTTTATAAACTAAACAGACGCCGTTCGGACATCGAAGGACGACCGCCCGGTGTAAGCATGCTTCTGTTACATTAAAACGGCAAACAATCGGTCGCGATAGGTCAATTTATAACCACGCAATGTATCAGATTAAAAATCACCCGGCGTTTGCGAAAACGTCAATGCCGCCAATCTTGTAAAAATCGTTAGATCGGGCGGCGGCCGTTTTCTGTGTGACCTAGGCATTCATGATAGTCAGAGTTGTGGGCAATGTTTTTCTTTGTAGACATATTTCATTATAAAAAATAATGACATGAATGCCATTATGAAATTACATTTGATTAACATTACATGTATTTCTCATTTGTCACAGTTAGCATTGTAACAAAAATTGATTTAATAAGTTAAGCATACTTGTTTATGTTATCAGTTTTATTCCTTATTTATACAAGTAACATAGCTACATACTTAGATAAGTATGTTTTTTATCTGTTTGATCAGGATTAATATCACTTAATTAGTGTGAATAAAAAAAAACGAAACGACATCACATTAACTGTAGTTGAAACAAATGGCACCTCAGTTGTATATGTAGTAATCTAATTTAGTTCTTGCTTTTTTCAGGACAGAAAAAAGCAGAAGGAATTGGTAAGTTAGACCTTTTTTTAAATCTCCAATTTCAAAAACAATTTTTTATTAAAGAAAATAAGAAAAGGAAAGATGTATGACATATTTACATAAAGTAAAATTTGGTGTTTCTTCTTTTTTTTTACTTAATTTAAGAATCTTAAGAATTTACGAAGAAGAACTAATATTTCATGTATTTTAAATGTTTAACTTTTGTAAGATTACTTGCTAGGATGTGGAAAGTATGTATCTCAATGGCAATCGTTTGTCATAGTCTTTGTTAAAGCAGAGAGCCTCCAGAATCATGCAAATCTTCATGAAAATTTTGAAAATGTATTGACAGTAAATATTGTGAAGTGAATTAATTGTTTGCAGGATTTCGACGCAATCGATACTAACGCTGTCTTGTTCATATCGCCGTGTGCACAAAATTGCCACAAAATATGTAATGTTAATCCAAAGTTTATGTTTGAATATTTTCTTTTAATTTCAGAGGTCAAGAGATCCATATGTAAGTTTGAATATTTTATCTGAATAGGACTTTCTTGACTAAATTAAAATGAGAAAAAGGCAGATTTCGAGGTTACATGTAAGGAAATATATTCAGTCATGATCCCCTTTTTGTTGACAAATGATTATATGGATTTCATATCTGTCAGTTTTGTGCAGGATAAGTCTGGAAGAAAGAAATACAAAAAAGCTTATAAACTTCCTAAAATATTCGAGGTTATCTCATGAGTGTTTTACTTGATCGCACGTTTTTATCTAGTCAATGTTTAAAACTCTACAGGAGTTCAATATTGATACCGAATCAGTAATTTCGAGAAATATGCCGTAAAACATTGTTTTAAGTTCATCAAATTCTTGTCTTCTTTTTTGTTCTTTGATAATCAGCTATAAAATTTGGATTATTTGCATTAATTAATGTAAAATATATCAGTTGACCTAGATTTTGACAAGTGATCTACGTGTTTGTCCTTAGTTGTATAGCCATGACATTTGGACCATTTGATCAGTTTGTAATATAAAATTGAACTGTAAAATTAGCTGACCTAAATTTTGAATTTTGATTTTTAGATAATATCTCCCTAACCGATTTGCTTCTTTAAACATAAATCTGTTGATATTGGCACATTAAAAGTATATGCTACAAAAAATGTTATACCTTTATCAAACAATTTTTGAGCTATTTTTATGTACATACTCAAACCGAGTCTGTGATTTGGCTTTGATTAATGATTTCGAGGATTCATCCTTTCTCCAGCTCGTTTTACGTGAGGACTTATAACAAACTGTTACTTACATAACGGAATTTATTTGAATTTCGAATGGTCTTTGACTATGAATACGAATATTGATACCGAATCAATTATTTCGAATAATATGCCGTTAAACATTATTTAAAGTCCATCAAATTTTTGTTTTCTTTCTTGTTATTTGATAATCAGCTATAAATGTGGACCATTTGAATAAATTAATGTAAAATATATCAGATGACCTAGAATTTGACAAGTGATCTACGTTTTTGTCCTTTATTGTATAGCCATGACATTTAGACCATATGAACAGTTTGTAATGTAAGATTGAACTATAATATTTGCTCACCTATATTTTAAAGATGTGGCATACTTCCTTGTCGACCAAATGCACATATTTAGAAGTATGATTATGATGAAGTATTCTACGACTTTTTTATATTCAGCTTTCACATGTTTCACCATGTGCACAAAATCATAATTGAAATTTGAAATCAAATGACCTTAATATTGATCTAGTGACCTACTTTCTTGTTTAATGCATAACCATGAAATAAGGATCATGTATATAATATGATTAAAACATACAATTTTCATGATGATTGTTTAGTGGCCAACTATTTTCAAAATCATGTAATGAACACTTACTTTCACTGCTTTCACACATACAAATAACAGTCTATCATCAGACGAGCGTTTTTGGGGCAAATGACTCCTTTGTTTACTTTTTCAATATAAACTTTGCCTTTGCCTTGTTGATCTTTATTCCTGTTTTTGTCCGGGACATTATCTGAAAGTACAAGAGGTACCAACAAGAATTAGTAGACAGATAGATCACATTGTGTAGAGGTGCAGTGCATAAGAAAGGAATATCTGCCTTGTCTAATCTTAGAGTTATTGCCCTTTTTCATTTTTTACACATTGAACTTCTTTTTATTATTTTATACACTTTGAACTGTGTCTGGCATATAACTACGAAAGTACAGGACATATCAACACGAACCTTATTATGTCTAAAACCTATCCGGGTTGCATCACCCTGTTCGACTGTCTCGTTATATACTTTCATGTAAAAACGTGGCATATATAGTTTCCTATATTACTTCGACAATACTTCAACGTACACATGTGCTACGAATATCCGCTGTTAAAAAACATTTTTCTTTACCGTCATAAAAGGCTTCTTCTTTGGTCGTCAAAAGCACTGCAATTGTATTTTGCAAGTACACAACATGATCAACGTCAAATTGACAATCATGTACTTTAGTTCATGTGCAGTAGGTAAAATAGCAAAACATTTTTTTCTTACAGAAAACGTACATTTACAGACATGTTATACTTATCAGTAAACTATCCCATGACATAAATGTAGGTCAAATTAACATTCATGTACTCTAGTTAAGCAGAGGAAAACAGAATCGCTAACGCTAATCCCTGCATATACAAGACAATTAAAAGGACACGTACACTTAAAGACACATATAGAAACGTTTAGAATTACAAACGTTCATTTCACATAATATGATTTGCTGAGATTTGGAACACTTCACACCAGCATTGTCTTCTATTTACTAAAAGGCAAACATTATATGAATCATGACATTATAAAGCTATTTAGATATAATGCTAATACGGACCGTTTCTGAAACTTTTAAGGTCACAATAACGCACGGTTAATGTTGTTTTTTTGTTTTTTTTGATTGGACGATTGTTTTTTAAATAAAAAAACATTGTCTGATTTTAAGGCAACCGGGCGGACATCGCCCGGGCCCTGTCCGGATATCATCCGGCGCCCAGTTGAGACAAATGGCACCCTCAGTTGTATATGTAGTAATCTAATTTAGTTCTTGCTTTTTTTTCAGGAAAGACGAAAGCTTAGGGAATTGGTAAGTTAGACTTTACTTTAACTCTCCAATTTCAAAAACACATTTTTTATTAAAGAAAATAAGAAAAGAAAAGATGTATGACATATTTACATTAAGTAAATTTTGGTGTTTCTTTTTTTTCTTTCTTAATTTAAGAATCTTAAGAATTTACGAAAGAGAAATAATATTTCATGTATTTTAAATGTTTAAATTTTGTAAGATTACTTGCTAGGATGTGGAAAGCATGTATCTCAATGGCAAACGTTTGTCATAGTCTTTGTTAAAACAGAGAGCCTCCATTATCATGCAAATCTTCATGAAAATTTTGAAAATGTATTAACAGTAAATATTGTGAAGTACAAAAGACCGTTAGGGCCATTTCGACTTCAGGAATTCCCGATTTCAACTTCATGAATTCACATATTTAACTTCGTGAATTATCGTTTTCAACATACGGAATTCATGAATTCACGATTTCAGCTTCATGAATTCAGGATTTCAACTTCATGAATTCACGATTTCAACTTCATGAATTCACGATTTCAACTTCACGAATTCACGATTTCAACTCCACGAATTCACGATTTCAACTTCATGAATTCACGATTTCAAATTCACAAATTCATTTTCCTGAATTCACGATTTCAACTTCATGAATTAACGATTTTAACTTCATGAATTCACGATTCAAATTCACGAATTCATGATTTCAACTTCATAAATTCACGATTTCAACTCCACGATTTTAACTTCAAGGTATATGCCACGTGATCGTAACGTCATTAGTTGCCATATTGGATAGCTTACAAGTGGCGTGAAAAAATGGTCAGTGATCTTTTACTTATATAAGTTCTAAATATATCATTATTTTCATTATAAACAAGTTAAAAGTATTAATGGGAAAAATCTTCATATTAGTTGGTTTAAAAAGAAAATATATGGGGATCTAGAAACATAAATCTAGCCTATCCTGAATTGGACCCGGGGTCTAAACCAAAAGTTTTTATTTTAAAATACTCGTTAAACTTTACATCAGGGCTCAATCTGCGCATCTGTTTGTCAGAATTTCATTTGCGTGTACAAGATATAATAAAGAAGGTTATTGTATTGTTTCATCTAATTGCAAATACTGGTGCTATCTTTCATCATTATTTCTATGGCGTTGACTGCATTGGCAATAGGAGAACGTTTGTAAATAAAGAAACGATGATGGATTTGAAAGTTCATTATTATTCGGTGCGATATAAATACAACGAGGTATTAGCTTGTGTTCTGTTGATTCATGGAATAAAAGTTAGTTATCGTCACTTAAAAGTCATAATAAAGAAACTAAGTTTTGATAGTCGAACAGTAGAATCGAATAATGAAGATATGTTTTCGGGCAATTCTTGCAGAACTATCTTGGAGTGGTAAATGTTTTGGTTTTAAAGCAATGTACATCGTTCAAAAGGGATAAGATTCATGCGGATGGCAGATCAATAATACATGGAAAGAAGAAAACGGAAGCGGCGTCTGCAGAGAAAGTATTCGTGTCCGGGTCCAGACCGCGTATGGCACATCGATGGATACGATAAAAACCTTTTGGGTTTGCAATTCATGGGGCCGTAGAAAAATACAGCCGTAAAACTCTATGTCTTGAAGGTGAAACCAGTAAAAAAGATCCACAGGTTATTGCAAAATGCTACTTGGACACCATAACCAGCTTATGCGGGATCGTTCAAACAATAATGAGTGCTCGAGGAACTTATAATGTCACTGTCACTGATAAGGACATGATGTGGACCATGCAGCGGAGGGAACTTATGTCACCACTCAGCTGGTTCAACGTCAAGTTTACAATTTGAGATCAAACAAGTTAAATGCTCTTCAGTACTTCTTTTAAAATTTGAAAAATTTCTTCAACCTTGACATAATTGCTCAAATTGATAAGGTGTTATACAAAACTCATACCACTTTGTGCTGACTTTGGGTCAAGGTCACCCTTAATGGTCAAAGGTCTAATATCATCCAATTTTGTGTTTGCTCTGAAAATATTTTGCCTCATCATGGGTTTCCATAAAATTTGGATCATACTTATGCATTGCAATGGGTAGAACCTATGTCACGGCCTTGCAGGCTCAATGTTAACGCAAAGTTTAATTATCAGACAATAACTGTAGAAATAATTTTATTCTGAAGAATTTTTAACTTGATTTTAATGTAAAAGTTAATAAGACAATAGGCAGAACCCATGCCATTTCTGTGCAAAATTAAGGTCACCTTTGAAGTAAATGTTTTCATTTGAAAATATTTTTAAATTCTTTTAGCAAATAAGCTGTGTCAAAAAGATCATATGGGTGTGTCTATTCGTCGCTCCTGTTGCAGCTCCAGATTATAAATGGACTGTCTTCATATTTGCACTCAGCATCTTTTAGGACAAAATATTTATGAAGATCAAACTAACTTTGACTTAACATTCTCACTTTTTTTGCTGTGATTGACAATAAAACTATGTAATTAGTAAATGAACAATATAAATACCTGGACAAAAATGGCATTTCAATATAAAATTGCAATGCATCTGTCTGTGTGTGTGCGTGTGCGTGCCTATGCGTGTGTGCGTGTAAAGTAAGTTTCATAACTCTGACAGTTAAAGTTAGTTAGTTAGTCATTTATATGAATTTTATAGGTTAGAAAATATCACAAAAAATCTACCTAAGTGGCTATAGCTAAGTTATCTATTAATGAATTTGTCTATATACATTGACACAACATTCTTTGAGGATATATATTCAAGTTGACTTACAGTCACCCTGCTTCATAAATAACTTTTTTTCAGGTCAAGTTTTTCTCAAAACATTGATGTGACTTGCTACACGTTTATTATTGTATGTCCTATCCAATATCATTCTGTCTCAGGAACCGGTAGATAAAATTAACATGAACTTGAAATAACAATGCAATGTAACGATGCACTTTTTTTAAGGTTTGTAACTTTGAAAGGTAGGTTAAGTCTATTTGGTCTTTTTAATCAATTTGACGTCAGAAGATAATTGTTTCCTTAGTTATCTGACCTTTTGTTTTTACCAAAATCAAGTTTGGCATATTATTATACTCTTCTTTTATCAAGGCAATAAATTGTAATTATTATTGATTCACTGATACAACACAATAAAATATAGGTTTAGATCAATTTTGACATCAGAAAACTCCATTTTCAAATAGTTCGTAGTAGTGTATGAGAATATGAATCACCTTCAGTGGAAATTTTGAATATGACTTATATTAATTATGTCACATGAATGATTTAATACGTATAAAATTATACTTTAGTATAGACGTATGTACAAAAGTGCATCCTATTGTACAAGATACTTATCTTTAACAATTATTGACTACTTACAAAATTAGAATTTAGAAAAGGACAAATACACTCGTTTTAGACATGTATATTATACTCCTAATAGAGATAGGGTGTACATACTGGTCACCTTGTCCATTCATCTTTCACTCATATTCCGAGACAAAGGGGAAATAATTTAATTTAACTGAAAAAAGATGTAAAGATCACTCTGAGGAATTGCAGTAACCGAGAACCATAACTCTGCTTTGTTTAATTTTTCAAATTGTTTCCCCATTGGTTATGGATTTTTTTTTCAATTTTGTTCAAAGATTTTATTTAATGTTGATGTGCATCAAACATTGTACATATACCTCGTTGATCGTCCTTTAATTATGCCTCTCAGAGTGGGGTCATTTTATATTTGCACTTGTTCGTCCAGCTGTCTGTCCGTCCGTTCAAAAATGTTGTGTCGTCTGTATCTGAAGTACTGAAGGTAAAGTCAAGAAACTTCACAGGAATGTTGATCAGCGTGTGGTGTTGTGCACCCAGGGTTTCAAATGTGGATTAATTTGGAATTGTTAGAGTAATGGCCCCTCACTTAGTCAAGATTTGCAATTTCAACTTGTGTCGCCTTTATATTTATAACTGCTGGAGCTAGAGTTAAAAAAAAAACTTCACATGAATGTTGATCAGCATGTTAAGCTAAACACCTAAGTTTTCACGTGTAGATTTATATATAATTGTTAGAGTTATGGTCCTTGAATTATGTCAAATTTTCAATATCATAATTGTACCGCACATAACTAAAAAAACCTAGAGATAGTCAAAAAACTTTATAGGAATGTTGATGAGCATGTGCACCTAGGTAATACATCAGATTTTTACCTTCACTCTGTTATGACAAGTTTTATTTTCTGAAAATCATTTTTTATCTAATATCCTTTTTACACACATGGCGTCTTTGATTAACTTTAATCTTACTCCATTGGTTCATTTTGTTTTATCCTCTCTTTTAGATCATGCCTGTACACTTGAACAATTGAAGCGTTTATTTATCATTGGGTTTGTCATTTTTATAACAAAATAAAAGAGAGATACATGGAAATAATTTCAGCACTTCAGAAATGTAGTGTCTAGGCATATAATTGCATCTAGAAGCATTGGATGAATGGGGGCATCTGTGTCCTATAGACACATTTCTAGTTTTGTCTTACTTTTTAATGGGTCATTTTGGTCTGAACTTGTACTAATATAGATTTTAACAGTTTATCATACAATCTCAACTTATTCATATCAATGCATTGAAATAAATGACAGATGTTGAGCGATTATATCATCGAGCCGTATTTTTTCTTTAGTTCCTTAATTTGTTATGTTTGTTTTAATTTTCAGGATTTATTCAAACTATTCAAAAATTGTCTTCTTACGTCTGTGAATAACTGTTACCTTCCATGTATATTTAGTGCAGCTGCATTATACAGTGTCCTGTTTTGTGACAGTTATATGACATCTATTGAAATGCAATTTTTTTTCTCCGGAAGTCTTGTGTCACCATTCTGTATTTTTATAGATAAAAATAGCGAGATTTTTGCATTATCGAATGAAAGTTTTTGGCGCCATTCAACGTTAAATGTGTCGCATGCTTAACTAAATCCTTGTGAGAATCAAAATGTAAAAACATTCGCGATTATAAACATTA